GCTGGCGCTGGGCTTCGCCGAGGGGTCCATTTTGGGCTTTTTCCGGGGCCGGTACTTGTAGTCGGGGTAGTCGGCCATGTGCTTGAGCCGCAGCCGCTCCGCCTCCCGGATGAACGGGATCTTCTCGCTGTCCTTCAGCATTTTCCACCGCTTGCCCAGTCTCTTGGAGATCTCGGCGTTATGCATGTCCGGAGACTGCTCCATGATCTTCCTGCGCTCGATCTTGGACCACACCATGAAAGCGTTCATCGGCCGCTTGATGTGGCCCGACGCCGTCTTGCACCAGTCCGGGTCGCTCTCGTCCAGGGCCACCGGGCTGCAAGCCATGAATTCGCCCTCCTCCGTGTCCAGCGCCTCCCGGGGCAGGTTGCTCTCCGCTTCCAAGCTCTCCGCCTGCTGCACCATGATCCGCCGCGGGGCTGGGCGCTCCAACCCGGGCCGCTCGGTCTCGTGCGGAGGTCCCCCTCCCCCTCTCGCCCCTCCACCTTCCCGGGCAAGTTGCAAAGTCCTCGGTACCCCGCGTCCGCGGCTCCCCCCCTCCCCCCCGCCCCCCCTTCCAGGCTGCACACAGCGGCTGCGGCGGCTGCGGCGGCGACGGCCGCCGGCGCGCGGGAAGCTGCGACGGGAGAGGCGGCGGCGGTCGAGGCAGCCCGGGACCCCTCTCTCTCCGGCTCGTGGCTCCCGCCGCAAGCGCCGGACCCCGAGCACTCCCAGGCGCGCGCGCTCCTTCTGCAAAAAGTTGAGGGCTCTCTCCCAACTAGTTATCAGGGTGTCATATGGGTGACATCACTCCGCGGGCCAGCCAATGGCTGGGGGCCGGCTCCGCCCATCTCCCTTTATTAACTCCTCGGCCACACCCCCTCCCCCGCCCTCCGGGCTGCTTTGCAAAGATGGGGGGTGGGGGGAGGCACGTCTGGAAATATGTTATTTTTTAAAAATCCGCGTGTGTGCACAGATGCGCCTCTCCCCGGGATGCTCGGGAGCCACGCACTGCACCGCGGCGAACCGGGCTAGTCCGGCCAGGTCCGGCGCCCCTTTATGCCGGGTCCCCGGGAGGCCCGTCCGAGCGAGCCGCCCCGGCGCGCCCGCTCTCCCGGTGCACACACTCGGGCACGCGCGCAGCCGGAGCGGGCGGGTGCCGCCCGGCGCGCCCCCGGGTGGGTGCAGCTGCTTCCCGGTGCCGCGCGCGCCCGAGCCCGCCAGGGGAGCCCGCCGCGCCCCGGCCGACGGAAGGTGGCGCTTTAACACAACACCTCCCGGGCACGTGGGCCCTCCTTTTTCCCTTTCTCCCTTTTTCTAAGGCAAAGAAATCCATATAAAGCCCGAATGGCTTCCTTCTCCCTCCCCCGTCTGCATTTTCTGTTTTGTCCTTTTTCTCCGTCTGTTTTCCCCCTTCGGAGGCGATCTGAGACGCAGCGGGCGGGTTTGGCTGCGCCCTGCCCGCGTGCGTCCGGCCCCAGGCCGAGGCCGGAGTAACGGTCTGTGGGGTTTGGCTGGGGCCGGGTCCTTGCGTTCAATCTGGCCCGCCGGAGGTTGGTTCTAAACCGGGTCCTGGGACCGGCTAGCTTCGCCACAGCCCCGCCCATGCGTCTCTTGCCCGCCGCGTCTCCTGCTCGCCCCCTCCCCCGGGCTGTCCCCCCCCAACTCCTTCCCATTCCCCCTCTTCCTCTTTGTCCCCTCCCCCTCTGGGTCACCAGCGCCCTCCTAGGCGGCATCATCCTGAAAATCTAGCAAGGAGCAAGCATGCCTTCTGGGGCATTCGCTATTGTAGTTAACGACCTGGACCAAAGAGAAAACAAGGTGCATCCCAACTTTGGAGTGGAAAGACGTCCTGTATCTGTGGAAAGGTGGGACGGACTGCTCTTAGAACAGCGACAGAGAGATCAGGCTGGCTTACTGAAGCAGCCCCATGCCCGGTCGATCCTGCTGTGCTACTTGGAAACCCGTTTTTCTTTGTGTTTCTTTATTTAGTCGCTGTTACCCATCCGTGGATATTATGGAGGCGGGGGGGGGGGGGAGATGAAAATAAAACGGCCGCTTCCTATTCATTGTCTGTCGTCATCACTGGCTTCACACCCTCCAGCGATCTGGCAACTTTGAGTAATTCCCAAGATACTGCCCAGAGTGTTTCACAAGAGAAGTCGGCCGCTTAGGACTAGTAAAATTACCCAAACCGGCTTCCTTCCAGGTTCCCTTCCTGCAAATAATACTGCATTATCCAAGCATTGCAGCTTTCTGATGTCTTTAATACATAAAATGGTACCACGTTTTCACATTTTTCACAGACCATCATATGTATAATATATATACCACCATCGCCGTACCCTCCCCCACCTTTTGCATCCTAAAGAAAAATACTGCATCCCTACTTGTGACATTCAGGCCGGTCGTGCTGGCGATTTATTTTTTGGAACCATAGGAACGAGAGGAATTTACAGCCATGCATACCGGGTGACCTGAAGTCTGGAGAGGTATAAAACCCAAAGGCGGTGTGTGAAAATTCATATTCACTCCCACAAGGCAAGCACTGCGTCCCCTTCCTGGCTCATGTCACACATTTCCCAGCCGTTCCAGCTACAAGAGGCACACCACAAGAGGGTGGGTGGATGGAATGGTGGATCCACACTGCTCTTCCCCCAGCACAGGACACATCCATACTCTAGCCAGAAGGCTTGAAATAATTTAGCTCAGTTGCATTATTTTCATGCAAACTATGAGGGCATCTAGTATTTTAGACTTTGAAAGAGAATGCATTTGAAAATCTTCAGCAAATTCAATATTTATATGCCTTTTCACTCCATAGCAAAAATCATGTTTAACTTTAGAATGAGAATTAGGGGAGTACAATAAAGCTGGAAAATAATGGGTTTATTCTCTGAGGGCCATGATCTTCTGAGAGGAAATAGAAGCTAATATTTACCCTTCCAGATAAGAAACATAATTTCTGTTCTGAGAAAGATGGGTCATCTTTGGAGAAGAGAAAGCCAGAGTACCACGGTTGTTTATTAGTGTGAGCGGGCGGGCTGGGATGATGAGAGGTCAGTCCTTTGACTCAGTGGGTCTTTCAATCAACACACTGCACAGGTTGGAGGAGGTAAGGCAGGCATGGGGGCTTGCACAGGAATGTCCTGGAGCAGGTTCCTTCCTCTCTATTCCATACACAAGGTAAGAATTTTCAGACAGTATTACCTAGATTGCTATTTTGTAACATGATCTACCCCACCTATTCAATGTTCCTGAGTTTAGTGAGGATTTGGAGGGGGGAAAGGAAAAGACAACTAAATAATTCATCTGTATACTTTTCTTTCTTCCTTCCTTCCTTTCTTTTTCTTTCTTTCTCTCTTTCTTTCTTTCTCTCTTTCTTTCTTTCTCTCTCTCTTTCTTTCTTTCTTTCTTTCTTCTTTCTTCTTTCTTCGCTTTCTAAGGAAAAGTTTTAAAAGAAGGAAATAAGAACGTGTTTGACACCTTCATGCTTCTTACGGGTATAAAAAATAGACGTTTGCAACATCAGCAGTAACCAACTATTTAAAGGAGTTTTAGGCTAACAAATGGAAAATGTGGCCCTCTGTAAGGATACCTACATCTCCTGAAAGTCTAATTTAGTTAAATGGAAATTTACCTGCTATTTTTAAAACCATAGAATGTATATCAGGATTAGGCCTAGGGGTCATCCTTTTTATAGCCAATATACATTTCATATATGTGTGAATATTTATATATTTATAAGCAAGATACGCGATTTTCCTGCTAATTGTACACATTGTTGGAGATATAATTCAAGCTCAGAGTCTTAAGATTTACATTTGATTAGAGCTACACATGACTAATTTTATGGTTATTATTGTCTTTTACAAATGCATCTTTACAAAGAAGACCCTTCATTTTTAAGAACTATTATGTAAGGGGGTAAGATATTCTACGAAAATCTCTCAAAATTATGAGAACACAATCAGAATACATATGAAACGTTCCTTTCCCCTCTGAACAAGAAACATTTCTCTAGGCAAATAATACACTAAAAATATCACTGGGTAAATATTTGACTCATTAAATTGAACATATCAGTTTTAAAAGTGCTCTGACTACATGCGTTTCTCCCTTGCTGAAATGATACTGTGCAGGACCATTCTTTCCATGTCTTCTCTCTTGATTTACTCTCCTGAAATGAGCTCCCCCACTCCCAGTGCAGCTACCTGTCTGTATCTCTGCCTCAGACCTGGATCCCAAGTTTGATCTGTAGATCTTCTGTCTACGGGGGGTCCCCCTTGTAGGTATCCTCACACGTGGTAATGGATATAAATTGAACTCACCTGACTCTCCAGACCCTGTTTTGCCCTATTGTTCCCATGGTGCTTTAGGGCCTTGGCATTTTATTCTATCCACCTAGAACTTTCTTTTCACTTGGTCTTTGCATCTTGATCTCCTGCATTGCATTTAGACCCAGGTACAATGCTGGGAGGGCTTCTAAGCACCTGCTGCCCCTCCCCTCGACACATAGGCTGCCAATGACTGTCACTACCTGTTTGGTTCATCAGGACGCACTTTAAAGTTGCTAAAATAATCTCGCTGATATTCTCCCTCATTTAATCTCTGAATCACCCAGCCTGAGAGTATGCTTCATTAAGGCACGACAGAAGGGCACAGGGCAAGGACCTGGAACTTTTAAAACATAATTTTACATCATGATGAGCGCACAAGTTATACACATACAAAGCAGAAACCAAAGTGACACAAATAAATATCTCTCCTTATTAAGTATAACTCAGGCTACTTTCTATTCCATTTCTTTAAACAATGCTGCTTAAAACCCACTGAATTTACCTATTAATGAGACATTATTAAGTTTGAATAGCAGTGGTTTGGGTGTTCTAAGACTCTAGTATGTTCTGCTTTGGATTGAAAATTCCAGTTGCAGTGTCCATCTGTCCATCTGTCAGTTCTTTCCCTCCCTCCCTCCCTCCCTCCCTCCTTCCCTCCTTCCCTCCCTCCCTTCCTTCCTCCCTTCCATGGACACACCCTACTAGAGGGGTAAATTAGCTAAAATTTGTGAACCTGCATTGACACATCAAAATTACCCACAGCCTGTAGTTTACACCAGGACTCACTCTCCCGGTATTGTACACTCTATAGGTTTTGACAAATGGATAATGGTATGTATCTACCATTATCATATCATACAGAGTATTTGCACTCCTCCAAATATCATTTGTTCTCCCCCTAAAAATCATCCCCCCCCGCCTACCCCCACCTCTGGCAACCACTGATCTTTTTACTGTCTCCATGGTTTTTTTGTGTGTGTGTCTTTTCCAGAATGTCTTCTAGTTTCAATCATGCAGTGTGTAGCCTTTTCAAATTGTCTTCTTTCACTTAGAAATATGTATTTAAGGTTCCTCCAGGTCTTTTCATGGCTTGACGGCTCTTTTGTGTGTGTGTATGCTGAGTAATATTCCATTGTCTGGATGGACCACAGTTTATTTATCCGCTCAACTACTA